GTTACAGACGAAGAACCGTTAGCCTCAGTTACAGACGAAGAACCGTTAGCCTCAGTTACAGACGAAGAACCGTTAGCCTCAGTTACAGACGAAGGTGTGTTATGTTATTCTCCGTTTTTATTTGCTCATTGCACAATATTGTCTAAGTACTGCTCGACAGAAAGTGAGTAAAAAATCGATCAGAGACGCCCAGAAAAGTATTGCCTATAATACTCGTGTTTCATACTGTGTATGTGTATATTTGTCAGTAAACCTCTCACCTGACAGAGAATCCTTTGTTGTTTCTATCCTGATCMRACTCTTCAGGGTTACTGTCAGCCTCAGWCGAAGGGTCCGTCAAAGTTTGGAGGCAGGGGTTTCCATTGTAGGAATCAGGAAGTGAGCGCAKTATTGCTTGTGAGACCTGAGTAAACACATTAAAAATAGACAGCAAACTATTTTACAGTATATGGGTACAAGTATACGTATACAACTTTAAACCCAGTGTTCTAAGGTTAACATGAGGAATCTCCTGTCACATGTCGAGTTTGATGAAGTACAACAATGATGCTACAGCAATGGGGGGCTGAACCACATTCATGGGGGATATATCATCACCATCTGAGAATGAGGACCGAGCCCCAGTGAAATACAAGAGCAGTTGACCTGAGAATATCAATCTTGACAAATAAAAGTAAGAACACCTTTGACCTTCACACTTTCATCAAGGCTAGTGATAAAGTACACTCTGGAAGTCTGATAGAAGACTTGTAAATGAAGCACTGCCAAAAATAACAACTGGCTTCATCACAGAGACCAATAAGCTGGTATCACACAACAACGATGCCCCATGGCTACAGGATCTAAGATCTGAACAAGGACCAGTACCATCACAGTGGCAGATATTCACAGCATGTAAATGTAGAGAGCCTCAGAAAAGTTTGGATGCTGTTCATAAGAGAACTATTTCAAATTTGATCAAAGTTGTACATTTAGAACCACCCTCTCATTTGACCACTCTTGTTTCTTGACAGCACATTGAGGAAATAAATGCTAGTTTGAACTGGAACAATGAACAAGCTTTATATATAATGTTTGTAAGGGTCACCTTGAGTGAAATAAACAAGGAAACTGTCTTTGACCTCAGACCTCTGATGGGCCTTTAAAGGGATAAAAAGTCTGTTCCACTTAGAACTGAATATAGGCCGTGAGAGAGAGATGCCTTGCCTCTGGTTTCCCACATAAGATTATAAGTTAGGAACTAACTAATATCTTACTTTTCCTCCTTTCCTTAAACCTGCCTTGCCAACCTGTTATTTGCTGCAAATGTTGGTATTCAACATCTAGCTGGATGTTTGATTTTCTGTTTAAGTGCTTGATTGACAATTAATGAAGCTCGAAGCATGCTTGTTATTGTTGGGTCTTAACTTTTATAGGAAACTGATTGCTCACAAATAAGTGTACTGTAGTGRTTTTGTCTKATTGTGTAAATAAATGAGTATCCTGGTTGTGTAAGTACCAACCATTTAACAGGTTACCTGGTTACTGAAGGCAATTATTTTTCCAAATTGCTCTCCYTCCTTGGTCTTCAGGCCTTGGTTTTCTGTGGGAGGAGCAGGACTCTGAGAAGACTTCAGGGGATCTCCTGGAGTTTTTTCTACCTCTTCATCTGAACAGATCTTTGTATCATTTTCACTTGTTTTTGAAGTTGTTGCTGAAGGAACATTGCACTCTTTTGACTCGCTGATATCCACCTTTTCTGGCTCAGGCTCCTGTTTGGATGTTGGGACATTGGCGTTATTATGGACCAGACTTTGATGATCATCATACTTCTCCATGTTGGGAACAGAGTCCATGGTGTCACAGAGCAGGAACTCTGGTTTGGTGGTGGGCTCGTTGAAAGGAGGYTGATTTTCAGATATTTTTGATTGACGACAATCTTCAAGTGTGGCTGAGATGTTACCAGAYGTTTGAACAGAGTCTTCTCCATTGTTTTTTTCTTCATCACATGCAGACTGGTCTGACTTCATCTCTTTGAGGAATTTATGTTGAATCTTTTCATGATCTACATCTGAGCCAGAAGAGAAGCTGCAAAGACCTGCAGACTTCTCCTCCATCAAAGATACAGAGGTGGAGGAAGCTGTTGGCCTCCTGACACTGCTCCTTTTGTCTTGAGGCSCTGGACTAGAAAAGCTCTCAAAAGAGTGAATCTTTTGCTTGATTGACATGTTGCCTCCTGATGAGGTAGATCTATCTTTAAAGCTTCTGCTGAGACCTGCAGGAGACTTCTCTTCTGAAGAATAAGTATGCTTCCTCTGTTCTTGRTCATTCCGGATTTTCCTTAGACTCTGGTGAATCCAGGCAGGTTTAGGCGCCACAGGGGGTGCTGTCTTGGATCCTGAAGGTTTTTGAGCCACAGTGAATGGTTGTTCTGTAAAGTTCTCCTCATCTGTCATGGTGGCAGAGATGCTGCTGTTTGYACGGTGCTGATGGTGAAAAGTCTCTGGCGGGTCTTCAGATGAACAATTAGAACGATGAACCCAAGGGTCCTGAATCTGGTCTTCAGACTGTGGTTCAGTGTGGGACTGTCTCCTCAGACCACCTGTCTTTGGCTTTAAGCAGAATGCAGCAGATGTTTCACCTGAACGCAGAAAGAAATATTTTAAAACATGTTCACAAGACATTTACGTATTTTTAATTGTAAACAGGTTTCTACCGTTAAACGCAGCTAACAGACAACAACGCCTGCTTAAAACAGGAAGTTGGGTCACTTTCCACTCAARCATCAATAACGTTAACACTAATCTGCTGTCAGGTTGTCTGAACAGCTGCAAACTGATGCTGACTTGTTATCTGTCTCCTACCCTACCTGCTTGAAGTTGGTCCTTGGAATACGCTGCAGAAACCAGATGGGCAGAATTTCCTTTGCTTTGCTCCAACGCTTTTCTTATAAGTTCTTCTTCCTGCTGCACAAACAGGAAGTGACTTTGAGCAGCAACCACAGACAAGTGCAATAGAATACACACCCCCACTGTTAACCTCATCCGCAAAACTGTTTCCTTAATTGTGTCACAAAGCTGACACACAAACACATGCACTCAGATGCAAGAAGAAATGGACTGTACAGATTAAATACTGAAAATACAAAACAAACACYTTAAAACTGATTTGTACAACTACAATATGTTCAAGTGTACCAACACAGAATCTCTTTTGTACTGGATCAAAATGCTCAATAGAAGCAGGAAGTGAGAGTCCAGAGTTAAACACAGAATATGCTAAACATCATAAAAATCATGAACATCAGATGAGGACCAAAGCAGCCACAGCATGCAAACATAAAACAAACTGTAGATCTTTTATTACAAGCAGTGACCACAGTAGTTTGGTTTTAGTTCTCTAAAAATATACTATTTCTGAAAAATACTGGAAGATGTACCATATGAGAGCAAAAATCTTGTTAGCATGCTAAATATGTTCTGTATAAGTTAGGTCTGTAAATGTAGACGTTTTGAATCAATGTATGAATTATTAAAATACTCATCCACATCAGCAATAACAAATTACACTGAAAAAAAGAAAATAACACTTTACAATCAGTTTGGGATATATACTAACAATGATTAGAGCTGGATCACACATTTGCATTTTCAATTATCAGAATCAGAATCTGAATCTGAATCAGAACACTTTACTGATCCCCGGGGGAAAATTGCAATTATCACTATCATTATCAATTATCACACTACTGCTGCTACTATTAATAATGATAAAAATAAAAATAATGAAAGGAAGAAGAT